AGTTAGGGAAAGAAGACCCAGGCAGTGATGCCAGCTAGTGCAAAGGCCCTAAGGTAGAAGTCCAGCAAATGTAGGAGAGTAGCTCCTGGGCCAGGGCCGAAGGAGAGGGAGTCATCAAAAGGTCGTGGCAGCAACTGGGCCAGAGGTGATGAGGCTTGGCTGAGTCAGGGTGGAGGCAGTGGGAAGAAGTGAGATCCTGGTGCTGGTGGGCAAGGCCGCAGACTCAGTTGAGAACAGGAATTGCTGAAGGAAGGATGTGCAGCGAGAGAGAAAGGCGTCACTGATGACAAGGATCTGAGCAGCAGACAGGCTGGGGTCCTTTTATCTCCCCCAGCTTCTGCTCTCCACCCTCACTCCATCTATGGCCATGGGAGCGCCCTGCTAAGGCAGCGGGGACAGACTGCAGGAAGCTCAGTGCTGCTGGGCTGACTTTGGGCTGCCCATTGTTGGAGATGCCAAGTGGGTAGCAGGTATATGTCTATCTGGAACTCCAGATCATCCCAGTTTGATGTGCACGGTGGACAGCATCATCAATCATGTGGCATTGACGTGAGACCCAGTGAGAGCCCCCAAAGAAGCAGAGCAGAGAGGACAGAGATGAGGCTGGGCCTTTGGCCCTCCAACATGTAGACATCAAATAGAGGAGAAATCAGCAAAGACACTGGGAAGGAGCTCAGAGTGGTGGCAAGGAGACCGGGGGAGCCAAGAGAAAGGAGGGGGAGGGCGAGGAGTGAGCAGATGCTGTTGACAGGAAGGGTGGAGGGGGCTGGCCACAGGTCTAACCACATGGACAGAGGCCACCAGGGACCTGGAAGGCACTGTTTGGGTGAAGTGGAGACAGAAACTGTGCTGGGGAGGGAGCTGGAGAGATGGCCTCAATCAGAGCAAGAGAGGATTTTTCTCTCCTTTTCTATGGTCAGAGGGACAACAGCATGTTTGCATAGTGATTCCATCAGGGTGAGCAAGCCACAACTAAATCCCCCTCAAGCCTGTTTCTGTAAATATACTTTATGGGAACACAGCCGTGCTTATTCTGTTCTCGAATTATCTATGGCTGCTTTTCACCTATGACAGTGAAGTTGAGCCATATGATGGAGATCTTATGGCCCACACAGCCTAAACTATTTACCAGTTGACCCTTTATGGAAAATGTTTGCTGACCTCTGATGTGAGGAATGCGTGGAAAAGAGGAAATTGATGACGTGGCAGGGAAGAGGAGCTTAGCACACTGGGCCCCGAAGCAGGTTGGCCTCACCTGGGTACACAGACAGTTGTGAAAGAGGTTGTGCAGGCACAGACCAGATGGGGAGGGATGCGCAGCTGTGGGAGCCTCTGGAAGGGCTCTTCCCCCTGCCTCTGTTTCCTCAAAGTCTTCACTTGACAGTGATGTTGAAGGCTGTGCAAGAGGGGGCATTAGAATTACTAGGACAGTGACGTGAAGAAACAAGGGGAGCCCTGTGAGCTTGCCTTGTGTCCTGAGCTCCAGGGCCACGTGTGTCCCGTCCACCTGGACTCCTTGGCAAGGATACCCTCCGACTGAACTTGTCTTCAACCCAACTTGTCATCTTCCCCTCAAGCCTATTCTTGCCCGTTCTGTCTCAGTGGGGACTCTCCATCCGTTCTTCCCCTTTTGCATCCTCCCTGCCCCCCACCTGTGTCTCTCCAGCATGCAGCCGTGCTGTGGCCCAGACCAGCATCTCCCACTTGGCGAGGTAGCTATGGGAGCCTCCAGAAAGGACCCCCAGCCTCCAGCTCTCACTGTCCAGTCTATTCTCCATGAGTTCCTGGATTGGGTGCCCAGACAAGCAAATGTGACCACGTGTCTCCTCTGCTTAAGCCATTGGTTGGCTTCTGTGTAGACCCCTTACTTGGGCACGTAGGCCCCCGCCTCCCACTCCCACGGCCCCCTGGACATGTCCCCGCATGCTCATGAGGCTCGCAGCCTTTGTTGGTGGCAACCATGTCTCATTCTCTGCTTTGCACGGTCTCACGGTAGTAAGAGCTCTGTATATATTGTCCAGACTGAACAAAAGCACTGGCCTTGAAGGTGGAGGGCCTGGACTGTAAGCTCTCTGTGCTGGGTGATGTTACCCTGATGTCTTCCCTGGGATGAGAAAAGCTGTCTGGGACATGAAGGGGCAATCCCCTTTCCCTCTCTGCATCTCCCTTTTCTTGACTATAACATGGGTGGGTTTCTGGCCCACCTACTGCACCTGGCAGTGGCGAGGGCCGAGTGAAGGACGCCTCATTGACGCCTCACTTCCAGACCTGTCTGAGGCTGGATCCCCAAAGATATAAGCTCTGAGGTGGAGGTTTGTGAGCCAGAGGCTGCCTGGGTGGTGAGGAAAGTGGGGCTGGCAGAGGGAGATTATGTGATGGGATCTCAGCAGAGGCCTCAGCAGGTCCCATGGGATGGCTCTCACAGTCACTCTGGATTGAGGCAAAGGGCTGGTCCTGCTGTAAGTAAGTGGTCCCAGAGTTGCCCCAGGGAGTAGGTGTGACCTTGATCTAACAGCCCCCTTCATGGGAGAGCAGTTGCAGAAGTACTGCACCCCCACAGCTAAGGATGAGCAGTGACCCCACCATCTATGGATGGACCCCATCTATAGAGCTCTAGAATGTGAAGAAGCCTCAGAAGTATGCCTGTGCCGTCTACGTCCCCCACCTTTCCCATGCTCCAGAGGGCTGCTCTCCCACCACCCTCCTGTCCTTCCTTCTGGCCAAATTCACTCTAGCCACACTCCAGCCTCTGCTTTGGTCCCCAGGGACCCTGGACACCGCCCCGGTGCTGTGTCCTCTGATTCCGTGTCCTTGTGTTTGGCGTCTCACCCCAGGCTGCTGTCGAATGAGCAGTTTGGTTGCAAAGCAGAGAATGAGACATGGTTGCCACCAACAATGGCTGTGAGCCTCATGAGCATGCAGGGACATGTCCAGGGGATATGTTGCACTAACATGCTGCAAACTCGGCTGGTCTTGGCTGGTCATTTCAGCGACTGGCTCTGTCACTCTATCAGACTGTGTCACACGCCCACTGCATGCCAGGCACAGACGCTAGCAAGCCCCTGGAAGAGCTCACAGGTGATGGGTGGAAAGATGTGCGGAGGGAGATGCGGACGGTCCATACTGGCAAGGGGCGAGCGAGGCCAAGAGCCGAGCTCCATAGGCCCTTTCACCAGACTTTGTCCTGAAGGTCCTTTGTTCACCCAGAAGCCACTGTCTTCCCTTCCATAGCCTGGCCTCAATATCCAGCCACCAAATAATTTGTGTGCCAACCTCCCTTTCTGAGCAGGCACCCTCAGGCTTCTAAAGAGAATCCTCCTTCCCCCACTCCCTTCTGTCTGCTGTGACCTCCAGGCCCCTTCTGCCCTCACCCCACCTTCACTGTGCTGCCTGTCCCAAAGGCATCTGTATGCCTCATTCTCTAGCAGGGTGGATCGACTTTGTATCAAAAGACAAAAGGCCTGAATTCTCTTCCCAGAGCCACTAGGCACTGGCTGTGTGACTTTGGGCAGGGCACTCAGCCTCTCTGGGCTTCCATTTCCTCAAATAGAAATGAGATGAACCCAGTTTAGAGTTTGAATATGAAAATTAGATGTGGTTTTCTGTGTCCAGGTCACAGCGGGGGCTCAGCTGACATTACTTTGGTGTGTAGCGTCAAGCTTTCCTACCCTTTCGTCTCCACTACCCAACCAGTTGTGACGCCAAATCCCACCAGACGACCCATGTGACTTTCTTTCCCTCTCTGTGGCCCTTCCTGAGTGGCAGAATGGCACAGTCGTGAGGAGGCAAATGCTGAAGAAATTGGAGGCCCCTGCTAGCATCCCAGCTGGTGAATACGTCAAGGGCCTTAGTTCAGTGGACACAGTCCCTTCCAGACACCGTGCAGGCCCCACATGAACAAATCTTCCCATTTTTCAAGAGAAACTAGGTGCAGATCGACACGTGAAATCCACCTTCAAAACTGGCAACACAAGCAGTGATAAAAATCACTGCAGGAAACAAAATATGTCCAAGGGCCAATTCAGTCGTGGGATGATCTGCTTCTTCTAGCTTTTAGGAGGTGCAGGTTCAATTCCCAGCTTCCTGCCTCATTGCCCTGACCTCGACCAGATTCCAGTCTCCATTCCCGGCTCCAGGTCCCTCTGCCTGTGCAATTTGTGTAACAACTACACTCACGGAGCACCTCCTTGGGGCAGGCATCTGTCCTTATCTGCATCAGACTTTTCAATGCTCTCAGCAGCTTAATGATACAGGGATTGTTCTCAGCTGGGGATCCGAGGACCACACCTGAACCCAGGCATTCTGGCTCTAGAGGCCTCCCTGTTAACCTCTGTGCGAACGTGCACAGGTGACTCAGACATTTGATGCACTGCCGTGGCAGAGTAAACACACAGATATTGGTCATATAGTTGCACACATGTCTCATCACCACTATGGAATCACCTCCTGGAGTCTAGAGGTGTCTGTGTCTACTTGTGGCCACCTCGTTGGGGCCTTCTGGTTTGGCTCAATACTCTGCAACTGTTGAGGAAGCAGTTTGATGGGGGGCCAAAGACCTGCCCAGCACTTAGCCTCCACCCTGGCCCAGGCCTGCCCATACCCGCTTCTGTGAGAGACACCAGAAGAACACAAGTGACCATCCCAGCCCCCCACCCCAGATCCAGGCACCCAGACCTAGACAGGAAACAATTAGCAGAGAGCAGAATAAAGCAGGTCACGTGCCCAAGTGTGGGGTGCAGGAAGGTCATGGCTGGGTTATAGAGCCTGTGTTTGGGGTTAATTTCTTTAAGAGCACTCCAAAGACATCAGACACTGGGATTACAAGATGGGGCCTTCTCAGTCTGCTTCTTATTACCCAGACACTCGTGGCCAGTCCAGTCTTTGATCCAGGAACAGTCCTGCTGTCAGCCCCTCTTCCCACCCCCCACCAAGCCATTGCCTTTTCCCCAAAGCTTGGCCTTTATGAGCCCCATTAATGCCTCTCTCTGTCTCTTGTGCAGAAATGGAAGCTCCATTCTCGGAGGCGCCGGGAGGCCCCAAAGACATCTCCAGTGTGTCACTGCCCGCCAGGTAAGGAGCTCCTCAAACCAGGGACGTGACAGGAACCCCTTCAGTGGTTGTAGTCTAGCCTCGCCCTGCTCAGATGGTCACTTTTCTTTCTTTTTTTTAAATTTTTATTTATTTATTTATTCATACAGAACTGGGTTATAGGCCTGAGGAGCAGGGACGGTGAGAGGCTTCACCAGAGACAGAGTGGGGAGCAGAACAGGCTGACTGATGAAGTACACTGCTGAGGGGAGCAGCGGGTGGGTCAGGAGAGGTCTGCCACGCCATGTGGTCACCTCTGGGGTGAACTCATGCTGAAGTGGCTTTAGCTTTTTAGCGCAGGACTTTGACCCACTGTGCCACCAGGGAGGGCCCAGATGGTCACTTTTCATTCAAAATACGGGATGACGACATCTGTGCTGTTCCTTTCGCTGGTTCGCACGGCCCACCTGTCGTTGGCTCCTGTGAATATTCATTCATTCATAAGCCTGTTGGTGGGCCTGATGCTGTGTATACTGCACAGGTCACAGAATCAGATTCATCGGGGAGGTGGCTACAATTTGCAAACTGAAATATTATGCAGAGTTGAAGCGAAGGTAAGTCCAGGAGTCAGGCGGAGACCTGGCTGGTCGTGGTCAGTATGGTTCCTCCATCCAATTCCTGACAGAAGCGTCTGTTACCCAAATGAATGACTGAATGTCTCCAGCATGGGAAAGCACGCCTGCCCTCACCTGGTAGCTTAGGGCACTGTGCGTGCACTGTGTGGTATCGAGGCTGTGCCAGCTGGCAGTTGCAAGGTCATGCGGTGTGATGAAGTGAATCTATGCAATCTGGCTTCAGATCCCCCCCTTTCCCACTAACCCCCTGGATCGTCAGACCCCCACAGGGGATGCTCCTCTAGTGCCCTCCCACCCTGTGCGGCCGGGTCGGGGCACATCTCACGGCTCCGTACTGGGCGTCTGCTTGTGCCCGGTTCCTTGGTGCAGTCATCACTCATACCCAGGGTAAGTTGTGGTCCCTGAGAACTGAGGTTTTCAGCATTATGAAGCTCTGTGAGAATGGCATTATGAGAACGGCAGAAGAGCAAGTTGTTCCCAGGAATAATGTGAGGTGTGCTGTACTCCCCAGGGTAAGGAAGGCAGCCTCAAAAAATGGTTGGGGGGACAGGTAACATTTTTTTTTGAAGATTTATTTATTTGTGCATACAGAACTGGGGTACAGGCCAGAGGCTCAGGGGCGGCGAGAGGCTTCACCAGAGACAGAGTGGAGAGCAGAACAGGCAGGTCAGATCAATGAAGTACACTGCTGAAGGGAGCAGCAGACGGGTCAGGAGAGGTCTGTCACGCCATGTGGTCACCTCCGTGGCAGGCGGGAATCGAACTCATGCGGAAGTGGCTTTAGCTTCTTAGTGCTGTGCTTTAACCCGCTGTGCCACCAGGGAGGGCCGGGACAGGTAACATTTTTAAGTAATCACAGAGACTCCGTCCTGCTCTGGGCCTCTGTCAGTTTGCAGCGTGGTTCTTGCTGTGGGCAGGTGGAATGGGCAGGACACCCTGAGACCCTCTGATAGGCCCCCCACCCGGACATGGGAGCTGGGGCGTCCGAGTGGCCCTCATTCAGAGTCTCCAAGACTGACAGATGTTAAGCATCTGGGAAGTGACGAGACCAATGTCCAGAGAGTGAGTAGGCTGAGGTGGGAGTCACAGTTAAGGGGTGCTGCCGTGGAGATGGTGACATGGTGATGAGATGAGGCTGGTCTCAGGCAGAAGAGTGTCGTCCAGCTTCATTAAAAGGGTGTCCAGAGTCCTGGGAAGCTCCCTCTTTTGGGGCCTGGGACACTGAGCTCTGGGATGTGGGAAAGCGTTTAGGAGAAAATGTCAAGGTTAATGAGATGAGATGAAGCCAGGGTGGGGTGACAGGGCCTGGCAGAAATGACAGTAATATCAGGGTTTCGAGGGCAGCCGGCGTTTCAAAGGATCACATCTATCACCTTTGTAACTCTGGGTCAACTGTAACCAATTTTTGCATAAACTAGCACATATTAATGAAGAATAGGAGATACAGAGCTATGGAAGATACAGGTTTAGAGTCCACACTCTTGATATTTACCAGCTGCATGACCTTCAATGAGTTCTTTACCCTCTCTGTGCTTTAGGTGAAAATTGGCAAAAAAAAAAAAAAAAAAAAAACCCAACCCACTTTGCAGGTATATGGTAGAGACTCAGTGAGATAATTGTGGAAAGTACTTTGCACCTTTCCTGTTTCCTGAGAAGTACAATGTTAGCGTCATCATCATCATCATGGTCTCATGTGCCCTTGTACTTTAAAAATGTGCAGAAGTTCTTACCCAGCCCCACCTGCTGATGCTGGGGCAATGCTGGCTGTACATTCACAGCAAGGCAGAGCTTGCTCTTCTCCCTCCCCTGCCTGATTGGGCCTCTGATATCCTGTCTGCCAGCAAAGTGGCTGCCTGACCAGTAGGCATCAGTTTTGTGCATGGGCAAGGCTGGGAGCTGGGGCATGGTGGGGCACACTGTGGAGGGATGTGGGGCCTGGGGGGAAGGACTTAGAAGAGTACTGTGCTCTCCGCATCTCCTGGAGGTCTGTGTGGGACCCAGGAGACTTGGTGTGAAGCAACTCAGAGGAGAGAGACAAAGACCTGAGGCCGCTGTGACGAGGGTCACCAGCAGGCCCTGAGTTGGCCAGAGGAAGAGAGCAGGGACTTCTGGGAGGGGCGTCCTGGGTGTTAGAGAATTCTTCAGACCCAAAATATAGACTAGAGCCCAGATTAGCAACACCAGGAGAATTTCAAAAGAAAGCCCCAAATTGGATGGAGACTAAATAGCCCTTGCAGCCTTTCAGAGAGTCAACAGACAGAGACTGGACGGGAGGCAGAGTGTAGCTCAGACACTGAAGCTGTGGCGTGAGATCTGTCTGCTATGATGAACTGGACCCTGCTGGGTTCTGGGACCAGCCCCTCGGTCCTACCTGGGACTTCTAACTTGGCAGTAAAGTCTCCTACACACGAAAACCTGCAGCCTTGTGGCTGACCCTAACTGAGCCCCTCCTGTGTGCCTGGGCCAGTACAGAGCTCTCCGCCTTGAGGGATGACCACCCAGAACCCTAGAGAGAGCAGAAGTGGAGCTCCGAAATGTTTGCAAAGCCACGAGTAAAACACCTCTCGTATTCTTGCACCTCAATTCTTGTTCCGTAGGGAACAAGGAAATTCCTGGATGAACTGCTTTCTGGCTCTTCCAGCTGTTTGCAGAAAGACCCATTTGTAAAATGCCATGGGCAAAGTCAGAGCATCATTTGCTCTTCTCTTGTCAGCACCCCGTGTTGGACCCCCTCCTTAGGAGATGCTCAGTGAATGTTCTATAGACGATCGATCAGGATCACTCCTGAGTGATTGGGTTTTCTCGTGTTCTCTGCTTCCCCTTTGGTTTCTGACACCTCCCAGCTCCCACCCCCAAGGTTGCTCTGACTCTTGCCTGATGATGAAACCACTGTTTGTAGACGAGTAAATAGACACCATCTGCCTGCTCACAGCAGCTGTGACATCAGAGGCTATAACCCCAAACCCATACCTGCCCCCAGTTTGCTTCTGAAGCTGGCTGGGCTGAGGCTTGTGCTCTGCCTTGGGCTCCATAGGCAATATCCAGAGGGCTTGAGACACATAACCATGGGCAGAACACCTACCTCCTTCCCTTCCTACTTTGACCTCGCCAACATCCTCCCAGGACCCTCCCTGTCCCAAAATAGCCATTTACTGGCTGCAATGGCTACATCCTGCTTCTGTACACTGTTTGCCAGGGGGAGGGATGGGCCCTCAGGTCTGGGGTGGGATGCCAAAGGCTGGACCTCACTAAAAGGGCCACAGCAGTGAGACGCTCAGAGGAATAAATGTGGGCTTTTGGCAAAGCGCACAGCCTTGTGGGACAGGAGAAGGGCCTGGAGAACAGAGATACAGAGCATGAGACTTCCTAGGCCACTTAAGAAGAGGACAGAGATCAGAGAAACTCTCCCATGCTGGCCCTGTTCTTAGTAACAAATGAGCAGCAGGACAATATAGGCCCCGACCTGGCAAGGAAGCAGCTACTTCAGACCCGCCACCCTGGGCCTGGGTGGGGCTGGGCCATGTCAGGTTCTGGCAGGGGCTGGCAGGGCGGGGGATGGTATGAGCTTGCACACGTCAGGGGAGCCATGAGCTGAGCTGCTGAAGCCGATCATGTCCCTGGGCTCCCTCTGTGTGCAGGATCCCAGTGTCAGGCATTAGCCCCAGACCCCAGGCTAGGGCTGCAGTAGCTGGCCAAGGCGGGGATCTGGTCAGGTTCGTGCCTTGGTGCTGAGGCAGCTCTGGCACAGAAGCTGATGACAGGGAGAGGGGCTGCCTTCAGCCAGGCTAGAGGGAGTGGTCACAGGCATCTTGAGGCTTGAAGTGAGCTGATGAGAGGTGTGACATGCAGCAGATCCCAGAGAAGCTTGAGACTCCCAGAAAGTGTCACTGAGGAGGTGACCTGGAGGTTGGTCATATAAACAAGGACGTAGCTGGGAAGGTGTAGAGTTAAGGTATGTAGCTGCCACCATAACAACAGCCCCCCAACAAGGCAGACAGTAGATGTCTTCCTCGTGGGCCAGGGGACAGTGGTTTAGGGCAAGGGGGTGACTGTGCCATCTCTGGGCAGCTGCATTGTTGTCACTGTCCCCTGCACATGAAAAAAGCACCAATAAAAAAGGAGAAGAGGCCCTGGGGCCTGTATGCCTAAATCCTTCAAAGCACATCCCTTCCTCTGACACACATCCCTTCTGCATATGTCCTGGGCCAGCACTTAGTGTCACGGTTGCCCCCAGGTCCAGAGGAGGCAGTGTGTTTTGCTGGGGGTCATGCCAGATACACATTCATTACTGTGGGAGGTGGGAGAATAACCATACAGAAGTTAAGCATTGGCACAGATATGGACAGAGGTCTGAGAGTGAGGAAAGGGGAGTATGTTTGGAATGGCAAGCAGTTGGAGGAAGCTGGG